CTTTGCGTCGGACTCGTTGTTCTGAAAAAATATTTGTGCGAGGTGAGTAATCGTTGTTCTGATGTCCAGAAGTTATTTTCGGTCATAAGAGACGGTAGCAGCAACATTATGTACACAATAAGTTAAAAAATAAGTTACAAATAAAAAACAGAATAGCACAGTTGGTTAGGAGCCTGTAAAACGGCAGCCATCCCCTCCAGCGCCATTATATCCTGGCACCAGGAAGATTTATCTTCTACTTGGATAGTTCCATCTGTGCCACAGACTTCGTCTGGTTTTATTCCACTTTGTCTACAAATTAACAATTGATATGTTGGATTCACGTCTCCATCTCAACCCAAAACCCAAAATAACCCAAGTTAAAGAATAGGACTAAATTAAATCAAACTTTAAATTACATTTTATTTGATTTAGTCCTATTCTTTAACTTTGATTATTTTTGGTTTAAATTAATTGGAACGCCGACTGCGAACCAGGCCTAATCGCCCAACATCAGTGCCCGACCTCACTAATGCTCTTGTGGCTGAATGGAAGCAAGTTTCTGCAGCAATGTTGCAACATATAATGGAAAGCCTTTCCAGAAGAGTGGAGGCTGTTATAGCAGCAAAGGGGGGGGACCAACTCCATATTAATGCCCATGATTTTGGAATGAGATGGTCATGTTGATCTATTCTCCAGTAGGAGGTGCTTCTCAGCCTATTGAGATTTTTTCTCATAGTGGAAATAACATTGAAGATCTGACAATGTTTTAAAGGTACAAATTCAACATATTTTATACAAGGTTTGTATATGTTGAAATTTGGTTACCTGATGACATAATCCTGTGGTTGAAATTTCACCCTCAAAACAACAGTTACGTTGATGACTTTTTTTTCAAATCCAATGTATTTTCCACGTCACAATACATTGACAAATTACATTGACAAATTATGTTGAAACAACATTGATTCAACCAGTTTGTGTCCAGTGGGTAGTTTGTTGCTAGCAAACCTGCCAATATAACAAACAAATTCAACAATATAAGTTGCTGAAAACAAGTGGTCAAACTTGAAACATGTGGGATGATTTGACAGCATATAGTTCCATGTTTCCATGAACTAGTCCAGTGATTTTTTGTTCACAATTCGCATAGGGGCCAATTCCGACACAGAAATGTACGCCTTTTCTCCGCACGCCTTTCCTACACACTTCTCAGTATTTGGTATTCAGTCGTGGAGTTTTCATTCAATTGGGTTTTCAGTACATTTATCTGAAGTCATCCCTTTAAATATGGTGTACTTTTTAGTTAGAATTTTGTCTACAGACTCACTAGAATATATCAAGAGAACGGGTTCAGAATATTAGGGGTTAGTGAAAGAAAGCCATCTAAATATATGCATATTTATCTCCATTTCAGCACCAATTGGTAGATTTAAAAATATTCTGATCTTGTAGATTATTTAGCTTTAGGAAAGTATTTATGAAGCATAAACAACTGGTATGGAGAGCCTTCACGCACAAAAGAAAGAAAACTGTGTTTATTTCACAGTTTTTATGTCTTCACAATGTAGACAATAGTAAAAATAAAGAAAAACCCTGGAATGAGTATGTGTCCAAACTTTTGACTGGTACTGTACTTCAGTCTGAGACTGCCATAGTTGAAGTCCTGTGATGACACCAAGATGTTAAAATGAGGGGTGTTGTACAAAACAAAGTCATCAGCCATCGGATAATCTCTAACCAATCAGAGTATCACATTTTTCGGCCCACGACCCCATTTAGATATCAGAAAATTATCGTGACCCCAACCATGTGAAAATAATTATGTAATTAACAGCCAATGTTTACTTTTTTATTTGCAAATTAGTCTGACATAATGTACTGTATCTTATCTCACCACCACTAATGTTGGGTGTGCTTGATGCATGTTGCGTCAGAGCTTCTCAAAGTCAGGAGGCGTGGTCGACAGTGCGCACCTCATCTCTGCTATCACATCCAACCTGGATCGATTTTTGGTTTTAATGCAGACTGGGAACTCGAAAAAATACGAGGTCAAATCATGACGTCAGTGATCTTCAGGTCGGAAAGTCGGAGCTCTAGAAAGAGGCCCGAGTTCCCGAGTTGGAATTCCGTGTTGGATGACCGTTAAACTATTTTTCCCAGTCGGAGCTTGTTTTTTTCTCTCCAAATTCCCAGTTGTCTTGAACGCACTGAAGTCGGAAATCAGAGATGTCCGAGTTCCCAGTTGTTTTGAACAAGGCATTAATACTGCAGGTTATTATTCCCTTTGAGTCAGGAACCAAAACTCCTGTGAATGCATTCGGTCACATGACAGCTCGATCAGCTGTTCCATTTCAGTTACCGGTATGTCAACTGAGCCAGGATCACACTCAAACGGATTGGGAAGTAGGTCCCAAAGTGCTCTTCCAAGCGTTGGAGGTGAGCAGTCATCACTCGTGTGGGACACTTACTGATGCTGTGAACATCCGAGGGAAGGGGGCATGGTTTGCTTTTGAAAGACTCTCTCTCCAATGAGAATTCTTTCCTCTGAATCCACTGATTCGGTCACTCATCTGTAGAATGTTTTTGTATTTCCCCTGCATGCTTGCGTTCGATTCGTTTAGTTTCCCAAATATGTCTGTTACATAGGCAAGGACACACATTTTATTTTCATTACACATAACATCAACCAAGTCTTTTATTTGATTTTTTACATCCATTGTGAATGACAACAGTTTCTCTCTCAATGCGAAAAATGTTTCCAACACTCCCCCTCGATAACCACCAAGCCTCGGTATGAAATGAAACATTCATGTTTTGATACCATATCTCCAGTTTGTGAACAGGCGTGTGCGCGCAGTGGATGTGGTTTGATGTAGTTTACAATAGAAGTTACCTTCTGCAGTATTCGGTGTATCATTGTGGGGATCTATTTTCTCATAACTGGATGTGATACCTAGCTTAGAAAGAATGCATTAATGATTAAGCATAAAAGGTTTGTACTGTACTGATATAAATTGTTTCACATAACAAGCTGTGATTCATGTGAGGAGCTGTTTTAGGGAGTAGGGGGAGATAAGAACTTGTGTCTCACAATACCCGAACACTGCCTCTTTGTGATCTGTGAACCATCCAAGGACGTGTACTGCAAAAGTGCTGACTTTCTGGATAAGTTGCAAAACAACTAGACACCTGGCAACAGTGGAGCGTCAAGGGCCTGGGACCAGCCTGTGCGCCAACGGATTGGCTGAGTAAGTCTAAACCACGCTCAGTCTCTACTCTGATTGGCCAGCAGGGAGCGGGAACTATCTCTGTCAGAGTATTTTAAGAAGAACTCATAACAATGGCTTAGTTCTCTGAGTGCCCTGCGTGGTATTTCAGTGGACCCGTATATAAGAACATCATATTTACCATTGAAGCATTTGCATTAATAAATACTAGACTAACTTGGATACTGTGTAATGACCTCTTTTGTCCCAAATATCAGATTTGAATTGACGCAACTTAACATCATACAATGTGTCAATATTGCAGAGGCCTGCCCACCGTCCCGCCATAAATGGATCCCCATCTGTGCAAAAGCCCACCATAAGATTCCATGAAATTTGTTTTTCGTCAATATAGCCACGCAGCACACTGAACATCCCCTGTGCCCGTTCATGCTTGGGAATCGTGAGACAATCTTCTGAATTTTGGAAATTCTCCCGCTACACCATTTTCATGTCAGGAGACCCCTAGTTTGGGAACCGCTGATCAAAGCCTATGACGAATTTTCAAAACGATGCTTTACCCATGTGTTTTGGCCCAGCCGCTCGGTTTCTGGGACCAGTAAGAACAGTTAGAATGTGTTTGCGTTCTAGAAATCGTCTGGGAGGTACTCAGATCCAGACTCATAGCAGAGAAGAACTAATGTCCATGGGCGTGGCATAGCGTAGCGTTTGGGCAGAGCATGAAAGCCGGCATGGATAGAATGCAATACTTTACTAATAGTTGCCATATTCTAATGATTCTCATGTGCCAACATATCGCCAAGGTCGATGCCTTGGTGAAACTTGCACTCCTGTAGATCTGAAATAATTGGATGGTGAAGCTTGCATCCAGCCAACCAGAAAAGCAAGGCGAAGCAATTCAGGCATTCTTGAGTCAGGACAATCCTTGTCCTGCAAAGAAACAATTTTTATAGTTGAAAATTTTTATTTTGCAAGCAGTAGGCATTTAGACTTAAATGTGGAGTGGATATTCATAGTTAGGCCTTCGTGATGACATCACATGCACCTGGTACCTTCAAAATCATTTGTAAATCATTTATATTCGGAAAACACAATTTCCATTAAAAAAATTATAATCTTTGAATAAACCTGGGTCAATGGAAACATGCCTACAGCCTTGGCATGATGCAAACAATTCACAAAAATAAACTAAGATGGGCTACATTAAATGATCCCCATCCTTGTGGGAGGAAAACAAACATGGGATTTGTTTTAACACAAAGCATCAACTACAGCACTCAAACTCAACTCTGGACCTTGAACCCAGTTCCACTGCATTTATCCCCTTCTAATCAGGGACTGATTTAGACCTGGAACCCAGTTCCACTGCATTTATCCCCTTCTAATCAGGGACTGATTTAGACCTGGAACCCAGTTCCACTGCATTTTCCCCCTTCTAATCAGGGTTAAGACCTGGAACACCAGGTGGGTGCAATTAATGATAATGTAGAACAGAAAACCAACAGGCTCCGGACGTCGTATGGTAAGAGTTGAATACCCTGATAGAACTTGATCAATAAACATTTTTTAAAAAGACAGAGACCTTCACATATCTGATGGTTCTTAAATCATTACATTTTCCCCCCTCATCTAAGATTTTTATTTTTGTGTGTGTAAAAAATATTTACAGACAAAATGACAATCAATTCTGAATTTCTGACAAAAGGAAATATATTTCCACCCCATTGGTCCTTATAACACTTTCCCAAAGTACATTTATACATTTACTCATACTCCAACAAAACAATCAAACATTATCGAATGCTTTAATAACAATTAACAAAATGTAACATCACACATTTTCACATTCAAAGCACATCAAATATAATTTCCCATATTTGGCACCATCATCTCGTGGTCTTCATGTTCTAATACTTTACAAAGGTCAAATACAAACATAAAAGCTGAGATCTTCTTCTGAATTATCAAACAGGATTCTGTTCGCTTTGACCAAGAGAACAAAACGTGGTGACATCAGTTAGCGTCTCCTGATGATGACATCATGATATGAAGCACCAGGTGTTTTATTTATTTTTATAAGTTGGATGGGGGAAAACAGGTGCAGGCAGGCGGGCAAGGGGAGGGGGACTGAGTTGGTCCCATTCCATAGACAAACACATTCACCAATCATGTTATACATAATGGGTTGGTCCATGCTCCTTCAACTGGTGGCAGCTGTGGCCAATTCAACCAGTGCTGTGCTAGGCATCGTATTGCTTAGGTAAGCCCACTCAAGTCTTCAATGGTCTGGGTAGGTATAAGGTGGGTGGTGACTGGCTGGGAGTGAGGGGCTTAGGAGAGCAGTAAGGATATCTGAACCTTCCCTACGAGGCAAATCCACCTTGTGACAAATAACACCAAAGTGTTTTACAGGCATAGTACCCCATCCCAGCACAGCGACGTGTAGGTCCATCTTCTACACATGGCTCTCAGGACCTGCATGTGTGTCTGTGATCAGTTTTAGTCTTTGTGGGCCTTTCCTTCGGGTATCTCTTCCTCGTCGTAAGACAGTCCGTATTCGTTCATTCTGGTCTTATCAACAGGATACAGCCTTACGAGAGAAAAAGAGTGGGGTAAAGGTTGTAGTAAACAAATTGATGCGGTCAATGTGAGGATATTCTGTTGTAGCATTGGAGATCGTGTTATTTACAAGTGACTCATTTTACCAACTGCAACAGTCAATTTAGGGAAACTGCAGTGTGTGTGTGTGTGTGTGTGTAGGATCTTAATTTGACCAGTATTGTCGCAGATAAATAATCCTGCAGCAACAGAATTTGAACGTTTAGTCTATAATGTTGCTTGATCGGTGGTTAGGCTATTAGCTGGACAAAAGTAGGATACTTTAAAAAGTGCAATACTGTTAATATAACCTTGTGTTAGTGTGGGTTTTCAGTGAAATTATGTAAATCACAAAGCTCATCTACATTTCCTGCAGCGTTGGGAAATTCTCAGCAACAAAACAGTGATCAAATGAAGATCCTACACCTGTGTGTGTGTGTGTGTGTCTGCCGTGTGGCTTACCATCTCTGGTACAAGTAGACGAGGAAGACCACATCATCCCTGAAGCAGGCTAGCCGATGGGAGGTGGGCATGGTGATGATGAAGGCAAATATGTCGTCGATAAAGGTGTTGAACGCCTGGGGATGGACAAGATGAGACGCAATAAATATAAACCGACTATCATTAAACGTCCTTCAGCTTCATTTTCATCACCTTATTATGTCTATTTTCGGATAGATTTATGGATGTTTCATTGCAACAATTATTACACATTCTGGTAACCATACTCTTATCGCCCGTCAATGATAAAAACCATTTCCATCTAACAGTGTAAAACCTGACGATCTCTCAAATGAGGCCTGATACAATTCACTCACTTTATACATGAATGCTTTCCAGGGTAGATGTGCCACGGATTTGAACTGTTGAAACAAGAATAAAATCGATATGGACACCAGCGTCTGGATTTTAGCGTCATGTGATAATACACCACGGAAGACGTGCACTAGCGCTCAGTATACCCGTGTAGCTCAGTTGGTAGAGCATGGCGCCAGTATGCGGCAGCATGCCAGTATGAAAAAAATTTATGCACTCACTAACTGTAAGTCGCTCTGGATAAGAGCGTCTGCTAAATGACTAAAATGTATAATGTAACTGACCTTGTAGTTAACAAAGAGTTGAGGTAGCATGAAGAGGAATCCAAAAGCGTATACTCCTGTCAAAAAATAAACCATCAATGGGAATAACAATACTTCTATTATTGATGATCATGGACGTGCACTGACAATGCATTTTTTATTTGTCCAATGATTCTGCCTAATGACTGAACATATAATAAAACAATTGATCTAAACAAAAAAAAACAACGCTTATGGTAAATCTGGCTTTTAAAAGTAAATTACAGCAAATCATGCTGGCTTCTGGGTAATGTCAGAGAATTTACCATTCACTAAACTGTTGACGATCCAGGAGTACCAACTGCCAAACAGAAAGCAGAGGAGACATTATTACACATTCAAAACGCATAGTAGACCGGGTCTGGGCAACATCGAGGCTCCAAGGGGGGAATCGATATGTTATTGTCCAGACAATGTTATAGCCTACCTTTTGTATCTCAAAAACACTAAGGCATAAACCGCTCCTCCAATACACATTGGGTAGAGTAAATACGACAGGTACTTCATTGCCTGGGAAGAGAAGAACGTTGAAAGGAAAATCAAATGGATGCTATTTATGACAATGCTACTTATATACACACTGAGGAGAAAGGAACACATGTAGTGTTTGGTGCTTTTTGAAATGGACAAAACAAATGTATATGGCAAGTCTCACCAGAGTATCATACTCTACAGTCCTCCTCTCTGATTCGTCAGACTTTCCAAACTGCAGGGAGAAAAACACACACTTGATATCAATGTAGAACAAACGGAGACCAAACGTAATCCTGAAGAAATGAACTCGGATATCCTTCCAAACAAACCAGGCTTACTATAAATGTTGGTTTTACACCCTTCCAGACAATCTGTATCTTAAAGGCTTTCTTCACCTTCCACACCTGTAGAGGGACAGATAAACCAGTCAGGCGTCGAGAGGACACCGTGCAACAAACTACAAGAACACAATAACCTACAAGGATCTAAAACATAGGGGATTAAGAGAAACCAGGACACAGGATGTTTGAATGACCAAACATACAAAAGGAGGAAAACATTGAGTCACTGAATAGTGCACCAAGTGCAGCAAACAGAAAAAGACTATCAACTCAATCTGACGAAATACATTTTACTAACGTGAACAACAGTAACTGTGCAAATAGAGAACCTTAAGGAAACACTGTCTGCGTTCCAAATGGAACCCTATTCCCAGAGCCCTGGGTCCCAAAGTATAATCCTTTAGTTATTGTCTTTTTAAATCAAACAATATTGTAAATCTATGCAGTCTCACCAGAATATATTACCAGTCATATCCTAATCTATATCCGTCATATTCCTTAAATCGGAATACACAACCTTGATATCATATACCAGTCAATCAAACGAGACCAGTCAATCCTTAAAACTATGTACCAGTCATATCCTTTAAACATAACCAGCTATCTTAAATCTTTTTACAGTCATTCCTTTAAAATCTTTTACAGTCATATCTTAAACTATACCAGTCACCTTGGATAGAGACCAGTCATATCCTAAATCTATGAACCAGTCAGACTGGAATCAACCAGTGCATACCCTTAAACTAAATACAGTCATACCTTAAAATCTTAACCAGTCATACGTTAAAATCCTTTGACAGTAAATGACCTAAAACTAATACCAGTCATTCCTTGGAATCATACATGTATACCCTAAAACTATATACAGTAAACCATTGGAATCTATATACCAGCAACTAAAATCTAATACAGTCAACCCTGGAATCTAATCCCATTATACCTTAAACTATACAGTCAACCCTTTAAAATATAACGAACCTTAAAAACTTTTGACCAGTCATCCTTAAAAACCCATATACCAGTCATACCTTGGAATCAATACATCATTCCTTTTAAATTCATTTTACCATATTCCTAAAATCTATATACCAGTCATATCCTTTAAAATCTATATACCAGTCATATCCTTTGAATATATATACCAGTCATATCCTTTAGAATCTATATACCAGTCATATCCTTTAGAATCTATATACCAGTCATATCCTTTAAAATCTATATACCAGTCATATCCTTTAGAATCTATATACCAGTCATATCCTTTAAAATCTATATACCAGTCATATCCTTTAAAATCTATATACCAGTCATATCCTTTAGAATCTATATACCAGTCATATCCTTTAAAATCTATATACCAGTCATATCCTTTAGAATCTATATACCAGTCATATCCTTTAGAATCTATATACCAGTCATATCCTTTAAAATCTATATACCAGTCATATCCTTTAAAATCTATATACCAGTCATATCCTTTAGAATCTATATACCAGTCATATCCTTTGGAATCTATATACCTGTCATATCCTTTAAAAAATCTGTGAATTATTAAACAAGTGCAGACTTTGTGAGGAACGACAGTTAAATCGGGATATAGGTAGCCCTGCTCAAAAGTAGTGCAATACCCCCTGGTTCGATTCCAGGCTGTATCACAACCGGCCGTGATTGGGAGTCCCATAGGGCGGCGCACAATTGGCCCAGCGTTGTCTGGGTTTGGCCGGTGTAGGCCGTCATTGTAAATAAGAATTTGTTCTTAACTGACTTGCCTAGTTAAATAAAGGTCAAATAAAAATACATAGGGACTATTAGGGACAAAGCCACTAAATGCATGTGAGGAGACGTACCTCGATAATGGAGCCTACTCCAGCAGGAATGAGGACCAGCAGGCTGGTCTGCTCATCAAACAGGTACATGAAAATCACAATGGTGCTGAAACACCTCCACAGTACTGGAAAGGACCACAACATAAACACATGTAAGGGGAATTGTCAAACGTTGCATATACACTGAGTAGACAAAACATTAAGAACAGCTCTTTCCATGACAGAGTGACCAGGTGAAAGCTGATGTCACTTGTTAAATCTACTTCAAATCAGTGTAGAGGAAGGGGAGACAGGCTAAAGAAGGATTTTTAATCCTTGAGACAACTGAGACATGGATTGTGTATGTGTGCCATTCAGAGGGTGATTGGGCCAGACTAAATATTGAAGTGCCTTTGAACGGGGTATGGTAGTAGATGCTAGGCGCACCCGTTTGTCAAGAACTGCAACGCTGCTGGTCTTTTTCACACTCAACAGTTCCCTGTGTGTATCAAGAACGCTCCACCGCCTCCCAAGTGGCGCAGCAGTCTAAGGCACTGCATCGCAATGTTGCGGCGTCACTACAGCCTGGGGTTCGATCCCGGCCGTGACCGGGAGTCCCATGAGGCGGCGCACAATTGGCCCAGCGTCGTCCGGGTTAGGGGAGGGTTTGGCCGGCCGGGCTTTACTTGGCTCATCGCGCTCTAGCGACTCCTTGTGGCGGGCCGGGCGCCTGCATGCTGACTTCGGTCGTCAGTTGAGCGGTGTTTCCTCCGACACATTGGTGCAGCTGGCTTCCGGGTTAAGCGATTGGGTGTTAAGAAGCGCGGTTTGGCGGATCATGTTTCGTAATCACGATTATTATTATTTTTTTTTCAATGTTTGGTATACTCTGTGTATATCTGGAATATAATATCACACACACACAAAGGCATATATTGAATTCCACCGAATAGCCAATGTCGTCCCCCCCCCCACCGTACTTACTATGACTGTGATTTGTGGTTGTCTCACCAAACTATCTTAAGATGAATGCACTACCTAAGTCGCTCTGGATAATGACTAAAATGTAAAAGTAATTCAGGAAGTAAACTGAAACTCCAATTCAATACATTAAAAAATTATATATTTTTCTCAATAAACAGAAAAGGAGAAGCTATGTATTTATTTTAAAAGTTTTAAATTCAAATAATTTCCTGAATTACTTCAATTGGAATTGACCCCAACCCTGCCTAACAGTATCCTAGTAAGAAGTTAACCCACCTGCTTTGCTGGACATCCCCACCATGCTTTTCTTCTGCTTCCAGAAGCTGATGTCATGTTTGAAGGCCAGGAAATCAAATAGGAGCTGCAAATGAAACACGCTTTTAAGATGCAATGTGATACAGGAATAATTGAGTGAATCTCAGTCATGCATGTGGGCGGCACATAGCCTAGCGGTTAGGAGTGTTGGGCCAGTAAAGGCCTGAAAGGTCACTCGTTCGAATCTAAGAGCCTACTAGGTGAAACAAATCTGCCCTCCTGTAAGTTGCTCTGGATAAGAGCGACGGCTAAATGACAAAACATTTCAAAATGTAAACATTAAAGATGATCGTCACTTAATTTATATGGAACAGTAAGACTTCACATTCTTACATGAAAGGCAGCTACGAAGAAGGTGAGGGCCTAAGAAGTACAGGTTGGTTTCCACGAAAATGCCCTTGATTTCATCAGCATCTTTCTCAGTGAAGCCTGAAATCACAACAAACCAAATTTGCTTAGGTTCCACCTCCGAAGAATGACGCAGGCTTCCTATACATAATCACGAATTGGGGGTGGGAAAAAAATGTCCTGGAGATTTCCACGTGGACTGGAAAAACATCAACAAATAGAGAACTGACGCATGTCAGTGTAGCTAGCTAGCATGCTAACCTTAGTTAGCTATCTTGCTAACCTTATCTAGCAAGCTAATGATATCTGTTGTTGCCAGTTTTTTTTTTTTGTTTTTTTTACTACACCGTATTCAAAAGATTAGCCAGCTGGCTGGTTCTGGAGCTGGATTTGTCATAAGCATAATAGGGAAAACTTCACCACAGATGGAAACCAGTATCTTTGACATCACCATCTATTGTCATCTCCAACGTTTTGGCATCTTCCATAAGAGACAAGCATTTTTCTACATTGTAATGGACAAGGTGCAACCCTTGGTAGGAAGGCTGCGGTACAGCAAAGCCAAGTCAGCCCGTGCTCATGGTTCTCACAGGGGAAGTAAAATGATAGGCTACAATGACTTTGCTCATGATGCACGTTGTAAATTACATTGCAAAACACCCTGAGCGCATCAGACACGAAACACCAATACAAATGTAACAGCACAACAAAATAGATAAACAAGTGACTTGAATTTTCTTTCGTGGGTGCCTGTTCATTATAGGATAGACACTTGTGGTTTAGCTGCACCAATCAAAGCTGTGAAGCAACAGATGAGCAGGGTTGCAAAATGCAATCATATCACACAATTATATCATTTATAAAATTGTCATATTTTTCTATATAAAGACTAGCTCATCAATTAGTGAAAATTCACAAATTATCCAATTGATTATGTTAATCTTCTGGTAAAAAAAAAGGGGGAGGTGCAAAAACCTAAGTTTACACCCCCTATTTTAATTAGCTCCATGGCTCAGTGTAGGCTACGGCGAAAACCTTTTTTGCTCAGTCCGGACTCGCGAAGACGAAGAACTTTGCAGGTGTTTCTGATTAATAAACAATGCCATGCTGGTGGGTGGTAACTTTCAAATAAAACCCCTGAGAATAAATGTAGACTGAAAAGCATTAGCACGTCATATCACAGGGGAAACACACGGCATTGCCACTGAAAAAATCCCACTTCGGATTTCCCACTTCAAGCCCAAATATATCAAACTATGACTTATTGACTTAAATCATTGTGCAACATCATGGGTAAGCTCTGGGTATCGTCTTTCAGTTTAAAAAAAGTGATTTTCTTGTGGGCATTTATCAAACATTGATTTGCATGTTCAAAACAGACAAAACAAAGGATTGTATTATATATGGTCCTCGTGGTCCTCTGTAGCTCAGCTCAGCTGGTAGAGCACGGCGCTTGTAACGCCAAGGTAGTGGGTTCGATCCCCGGGACCACCCATACACAAAAAAAAAAAAATTATGCACGCATGACTGTAAATCGCTTTGGATAAAAGCGTCTACTAAATGGCATATTATTATTATTATTATATTATATTATTATTATTATTATTATTATTATATTATTATTATATTATATTATTATTATATTTCTTACTACAGTTGCAGAACCTCTTCCACTCAGACTCCATTAATGACATAACAGCAGCAACGATAAGACAGATGTCTCTCTCGTGATGTGGTCGTTCAGTTTGTGATCCTCTGGCGGTAGGTAGAACGACTCATGCAGATTAGTGTCAATTCTGCACACTAGTATCAACTAGCATATTGGGTGCTATTTCCCTGACACAGATTAAAGGCTAGTCCTGAACTAAAAAGCAATCTCAATGAAGAATCTGAAATGGAAAATAATGTTTTGTCCAGGACTAGGCTTAATCTGTGTCCGGTAAACAATTTCTATAGTACTACTCACCGAATTGTTGCAGGGAGTAGACGGCATCTTGCATGTGAATCCAGAAGCGGAGTTTCCCGAGGGAGATGGTGTCATAGGAGATGGTGAGAGGGAGTTCTGTGCTGGTGCTGTTGATCTCCAGCAAGTCTTTCACTCTGTTGCTCAGCTCATCCACAAACAGCAGTGGAAGGTACATCCTCTTCTTTCCATTTTGAAATCTGGAACACAGTAAAACAATCAAGGAAAACATATAAATGATTGAATAAAAAGGCTCTGGAATTTGAAGTTTACATTTTTGTATTGTAATAAAAAGCATGAGCTGGTGCACCCCCCCCAAAAAAGGTTGGTAGAGATGCTGACTAACGGCGGGTAAACTGTAGGCTATAAAAATAAATAAAGAGTCGCACACTCTATATACAAGCTCCCAGTAATTGATTGGGTAAACCACCAATATTTCAGCATCACTGTGCCTTCTTCACCCTGAAGAAGGTGTACTGTATCGTTAGTTCCAGGTGTCCATTTGTGAGTGTATGATGAATTTCAATTCTAGATTGTATCATAAGTGTGTTCTTACACTCTCAGGTAGCGGTGCACGTCGCTGGGCAGGAAGTCCCTGTCGAAGATAAAGTCCTCTGACACCACATTGAGGGTGAGACGGGAGCGCCAGTGAGACACGGGCCGGTCCACTGCAGAGTCACCTCTTTTAGGCTTCTGTTTCTGCTGCTCCACCTGCCCTGGGCACAATGACAACAGCAGACCAGAGAGAAAAAGACAAGAGGAAAAACTGAACATCACAATCAGCATGACAGTTTGAAAGACGTACTCCACAGAAATGCATTCCAATGTGAAAGGCATTCAAATGTAACAGACTTATGTAGACAAACATTAAAAAATATATGCTATACAGGGACAATTCAGAATGGTTGATTCCAAGGCAAGCCACTGCCTGTGCACACGGACACATCCTAATAATAAAGAGATGTATAAATGTCTTGCTTTGGATCTTGTAAGTGTTGGTTGCGTCCCAAATAGCACCCTATTCCCTTATAGTGGACTACTTTTGACCAGAGCCCCATAGTAGTGTACTATATAGGGTGCCATTTAGAACGCAGCCATTGTGTGGTGTAATAGTAGTCTGACCTGTGGTGCTTCCTCCCCTGAGATCAGGCTGACCTCTGGTGGTTTGGGTATCATGTAGCTGGTGAGCTGGGACACCAGATGCACCTGTCTGGGGTCCTGCCACGGAGACATGCCTGCCTGGTGTACAAACACCATGGCATACAGAGTCCCATTCTTACGGGTCTTCTTCGGGAGGGACACATTCACTATCCTATAGGAAAGGGATAGATAGGTGAATATAGCAGGGAGAGGTAGAACTTTGCAGGTTGAAGTAGTCTCTATAGTCGGTTTGTTCAATGTTAATCAGTTACTATGAATGTGGGCAGATATCTGCACCCGTTTTGGCTCCAGGTGACTTGCTAACATGAAGTCCTAGTCATCCTGCAAATACCCAGAGATCACTGACTGTGTCTACCACAAAGTTTCCATAGGTGATTATCAGTCAGTCAGATGTAATAAGCACGATGGATACCGCCATATCCTGTAACCGTAAGAAATGTTGCACCTTTCAAACTTGGTCTCAACATCAAAGTCCTCCTCCTTGTGAATGAGGGTCTGTCCACCATCAGCATTGGGTCGCAAGGCTGTATAGATACTCAGCTGAGAATGGGGAATAAAGAACACAGAAAATGTTCACGAATCAATTTTCACACCCAAAACAACTGTCTTGACTGGCAAGCTTGCGTTTTTTCATCTAGCTGGCTTGCAATGATGCATACCAACCTGCAGTCTTGGTTTTCCTGCCAAATAAGGGTTGATGCAGTTTTCGAATTTGGGGTTCTCACAAGGCTTGGTGTAAACGATGCCATACATCACCCAGCAAGTGTGCGAAACATACACAACGAACACCCCGACTATGAGCGCCGTGAAAGAGATCTTCTGAAACATGCTCCTGACTCCGTCTAGTCCTTCAAATACGAAATGTGCCAGTCAGATACTGTAGCGACGCTATCCTCTTCTGACCAGAGCCGAGGACAGATGCGAAACCGAGAGAGAATTTAGCTGAGGCAGATTAACGTCGGTAGATGAATTGCTCATACTGTAACGTTAGTGTAGTTTATGGACTGGACATTAAGGTCACATATGTCGGCAGGTGCTAGGCTAACCATGGCTAGCTATCGTCTCCTCATTTCTTTTACCTATCAAATGCAATGTCTATTAGTTCATATTTTGTGCATTATAAAATCCCCGAATTCTGCTCGCCATTTTGCATCTCGAAATTGCAATATCACGGCTATTTTAAAGAAGCATGGATCTGTCAGCTAGCTACTTCCGTAATTTATTTCCTGGTTAGAATATTCAGGACAGTATCAAACTGCGGCTGCGCAAATCCAACAATCTCATACCGGTTGAAAATATATTGGCCGCTAGATGTCACCCACGCTCCATGCAGTACAGTTCGCTCTTGATTATAATTTCCGTTTTTCCAAGTCACCTTTACTGTCAGTGCCAGGTCAACGTCAACAATAGAAGCAGAATTTTTCCATGTATTGTAGAAACTAATTAAAATATGTTGAATTTCTTGGTTTTGAAAAACAATTAACACAAACCTCTTGACTTGACTAAATCCAATATATGTAGCTATTATTATAATAGCAGTGTTTAATTTGATCGGGATCCGGCACCTCTCAGTTTTGGACTGTTTTGTTCCGGAACCCATTGACCAGGATCCGGTACCTCTCGTGGCATGAAAAATAATTTTCACAGTTTGCATTATAATAAAAGCAATCAGAGTTAGGCTCATTACAGTTGACTCCACTGTAATTGTCCTGGATGCCCCATAAAAAACCTAATGTGAAAACGTGTTTATGATTTGCACAACATTGTAGCACATATAGACCAATGCGTGGCTATTGCTGTGGTGAGAGAGAGAAGCGTGCCTGTATCTCATACAGAACTAGAATGAGATTAACTTTCTATGATCTCTCTCTCTCTCTCTCTTTCTCCCTCTCTACTCTGATAGACATGAGCCTGCAACTCTCATCTCTCCAGCGTTGCACTTCATAATTTATTTCCTTATAGAATTATAGCCGCGCAAAGGGTCCTGGACGTGCAGCAGCACCCCTGATACATTGAAATACATTTGCCAAAGTTATAGAATTACTGTTGTCTGTTCAGAAATAAATGAAATAATTCAAAATACTACACCAGGAGTAGGCCTATAATTGAGCCACATATTATCAATAGTTTATTTTAAAAAATTGCCTAGCTGTGGATGGTGTGAAGCCCAATCACGAGGCATGCCTACAGTCGGGAACGCGCGGCAAATCTGTCAGTGAACAGCATGCAGCCAAAACAAGAGTGAGATAAACTTTTGGCATGAGCGCATCTACCATCACTGGTGAGTGAGCTGAGCATCATTGGGTGAGTCAGTGAAACTGGAAATCTTCCGTAGGACTATAATTTCCTCCTCATATTGTACAATATGCGTGTTTCCACACACCTAGGTCTAGGCTATTGATGGATTGAAGACAAGGTGGTTTTTATTGATCTCAGATTCTAAGTTTGTCAGTGTCGAAGTAGCCTGTCATTTTTGATCATTTGTGAGGTATTAAAAAATATTCTGCTAAAGTCTCCAGTAATCTAAAATGATGTAGAATTGCATGAAATGCGTTTATAAAGGCCACATTTTTCCCGAAACCTAGGCTACAAATGTTTTTTCCCATGTGTGCAACTTCTGCAAGCGCCTCTACTCTACTGATCCATGGCAGTATGCAAAAGCATGATAATGCATGCAATGCTTTATAATAAAGGAGTAAAAAAAAAAAAATGCGTTCTGGTACCTCAGAGCACCCCTGGTCACCCCCCTCTCGGGCTCACTTTTTGTTCCAGCACCTCCAAATTTACAAATTAAGCACTGGCTATTACAGTGCCTTGCAAAAGTATTTATCCCCCTTGGCGTTTTTGCTATTTTGTTGCAATACAACCTGTAATTTAAAGTGTTTTTATTTGCATTTCATGTAATGGACATACACAAAATAGTCAAAATTGGTGAAGTGGAATGAAAAAAATTACTTATTTCAAAAAATTCTAAACAATAAATAACGTAAAAGTGGTATGTGCATATGTATCAATCCCTTTGCTATGAAGCCCCCAAATAAGATCTGGTGCAACCAATTACCTTCAGAAGTCACATAATTAGTTAAATAAAGTCCACCTGTGTGCAATCTAAGTGTCACATGATCTGTCACATGATCTCAGTATATATACATCTGTTCTGAAAGGCCCCAGAGTCTGCAACACCACTAAGCAAGGGGCACCACCAAGCAAGCGGCACCATGAAGACCAAGGAGCTCTCCAAACAGGTCAGGGACAAAGTTGTGGAGAAGTACAGATCAGGGTTGGGTTATAAAAAAATATCAGAAACTTTGAACATCCCACAGAGCACCATTAAATCCATTATAAAAAATTGAAAGAATATGGCACCACAACAAACCTGCCAAGAGAGGGCCGCCCACCAAAACTCATGGACCAGGCAACAAAGAGACCAAAGATAACCCTGAAGGAGCTGCAAAGCTCCACAGCAGAGATTGGAGTATCTGTCCATAGGACCACTATAAGCCATACAGTCCACAGAGCTGGGGTTTACGGAAGAGTGTCCAGAAAAAAAGCCATTGCTTAAAGAAACAAATAAGCAAACACGTTTGGTGTTCACCAAAAGGCATGTGGGAGACTCCCCAAACATATGGAAGAAGGTACTCTGGTAAGATGAGACTAAAATTGAGCTTTTTGGCCATCAAGGAAAATGCTATGTCTGGCGCAAACCCAACACCTCTCATCACCCCAAGAACACCATCCCCACAGTGAAACATGGTGGTGGCAGCATCATGCTGTGGGGATGTTTTTCATCGGCAGGGACTGGGAAACTGGTCAGAATTGAAGGAATGATGGATGGCGCTAAATACAGGGAAATTGTTGAGGGAAACCTGTTTCAGTCTTCCAGAGATTTGAGACTGGGATGGAGGTTCACCTTCCAGCAGGACAATAACCCTAAGCATACTGCTAAAGCAACACTTGAGTGGTTTAAGGGGAAACATTTAAACGTCTTGGAATGGCCTAGTCAAAGCCCAGACATCAATCCAATTGAGAATCTGTGGTATGACTTAAAGATTGCTGTACACCAGCGGAACCCTTCCAACTTGAAGGTGCTGGAGCAGTTTTGCCTTGAAGAATGGGCAAAAATCCCAGTGGCTAGATGTGCCAAGTTTATAGAGACACAGCCCAAGAGACTTGCATCTGTAATTGCTGCAAAAGGTGGCTCTACAACGTATTGACCTTGGGGGGGGGGGATGGGGTGAATAGTTATGCACGCTCAAGTTTTCTGTTTTTTTGTCTTATTTCTTGTTTGTTTCACAATACAAAATATTTTGCATCTTCAAAGTCGTAGGCATGTTGTGTAAATCAAGTTATACAAACCCCCAAAAAATCCATTTTAATTCCAGGTTGTAAGACAACAAAATAGTAAAAATGCCTTTCGCAAGCCACTGTAGGTCTACTATTAAAGGCATAACCTATTTGTACTACATATATAGGTGTTTCTCCCAATTTGTCTCACGCCGATGTGCAAAATTGCTCAGTCATTAGACATACTATGACCAAGAGGTGCCAGTGAGGAAGAAATATAGCTTATATAGTTTGCTTAATCCCTTGAGAAGACATTGAATAAACTACCCAAAACCTTGCTTGAGATGACCCTTGTCCTATTGCTCACTGATGAAAAGAGAGGCGTGGTGAATGGTTAGTTTTAGTCACCTGTCTGACCTCGAGATCAAACTGCCCAGACTTACTCTTTCATCTCCTGTCAGCATCACTGACCTAGAACATCCATGGTCATTCTCCTGTCAGCATCACTGACCTTCTAGAACGTCCATGGTCATTCTCAGACAATCCATCGGTTCTATCATCAGTGAGCAATAGGACAAGGGTGGAAACAAGTGCTTCACCCAAAGGTTCGGCTACTAACTAATACACTGCTATTATCCTGAAACCAAAATGCAGGTTGAATGGTGTGTTTATGTTTGTATGCTTCTGCATGCTCCATAAATGTCTGTTTTTGCTTGTTTGTGTTCAAGCAGCACGGCAGTTTCAGAGAAAAATGGGCACAGAGAAAAGATGGAGGAGGAGAGAACGAGAGAGTTGTAATGATAAGTGAGGACAGAAAAACTACAGCAGGAAGGGAATGAAGACCACATTGTTCCCCCTTTATTGATTTTCTGCTTAAAACACTCCTTTGGAGGCCAACAGCAGAAGCAGGAGTATTCTTCCTGAATGAACAAACACCCTTGGTAAGGAATGTACTGCCTTCTTAAAGCCGCTCGCCCTGAAAGGAAAACTAGCAACGAGGAGCAAATCAAATAAGCAGCAGGTAAATTACATACTGTCTTTATTTGCCAGAAGTTCCTCCTATGAGAAATCAGTTGGTCCTTTTACATTATACAGTATTTACCTGACAACCAATTATTGCTGACAGTAGGCCTACACGTAATCAGGGACAGATATGGATGAAAGGCTGGATCTTTACCACACTGTGTGCAAATACAGTAAAGTGCTTACATGCATGATTCAGACATTCATAGTCAGGTTTAAACTACTTCAGCGACAGCTAGATATACATAATGTACAGTACATTACTTTTTTATTGCACTCAGGAAATAAATATTGGCACATCCCACGTACTGAATTGCATGTTATGAACTGCAAATATGTGTCAACCTGTCGTGAAAACAATTCATTATATAAAAAAAAAACATAAATATTGAGTTACCACAGACACACAACACACATCTAACCCTAACCCTAGCTTAATGTCCACACCCTGGCTCAACCCTAGCAACTCTAGCCATAACTCTAACCCTAGCCTTAGGTTCAAACCTGGCTCAACCCTAATCCTACCCCTAACCCCCCCCCCCCCCCCCCCCCCCATATAGTGATACCCCACCTGAATTCCCTATCTGCTTAGACCTCTCCCTAGGGACCACTTCCCTTCATACCGCCCTCCGTTCTGTTCCATAAACTCTATATGCATTGTAACCTTGTTTGGCATTCTTCCGTTGCTCTTAGTTGCTCTTAATGACATCAGCACCTCCTCTCTGAGTATTTAACACTAATCAGAAGGTGATTGGTTTAATGTATGGTGTCATCCATTTCCATCATATTACCTTTAGGGTGTGGTGAGGGGACTTCGGGAGCATATAGAATTGGGAAGCATATGAATTTCCATTACTACTCACTAACAACTGAATTGCTTTACTTTTAATTGGAAAATATCATAACTCTCACATGGGGAAGGTAGTGCAGAGGAGTC